ATCCACTGGTGGGACAATGTACCGGACAATGATGAGATGCGCTGGAGCGAAGTGTACACCATGGACTGCATGCTACTGCTGCGACGCCTCCGGTGGCTTGGACATGTGTGCCGTATGGATGCTGTATGGGCAACTGAGCGCAGGAGGCTGGGATGCACCCAAACCAAAGTTGCGCTACCAAGACAATATCAAGTTAGTTTGTCCAGAGTAAGTATTGACTTAAGTGTTTGGGAGGAGATAGCAACGAATCGTCGCACCTGGCATGATCTCAATACGTGTACCGTTGCCCAAGCTCAAGAAAGACAGTTGGTGCATCGGGGTATTAAACGTGAAGCACCAAAACATCAGCTGTCGGCGGGCTATAATTGCTCGGCTACGCCAACATGGAGCTGTAGTGAATGCGGCCGTGCGTGCCTTAGCCCAGCCGGTCTGGTCAGACATCAACGAGGCCACGATGGGGTTAAGCTGAACAGACAGACCGTGAGACCGAGCACCACGAACTGACATGTGGCACTTGGTGGTACGCAACTGAGAAGCGACGAGACATGTTAAAACGGCCGAAGATTATGGAACGAGGCGAGTGCGAAGGGATTCCCTGTTCGCTCGTAACATCGAACGGGAAACCTTTTGTACTGATACTGCACTAATTCATCGAGTGTTGCAGCGTAGCGACAACCACCCATAGTTTCTGCAAAGACGTGGGCGCTCTGTATTTGCCTTACTGGTAGTCCGAACACAGATGCCCACATACGAGTACCTCTATGCTGAGGTTTGCATATAACATGCTTCTTCATTGCAGTTGGGCTACACTGACTTATCTCATGTTACATTATTTGACCGTACCTTATCATTACCATAGCGTCCAAACGCTTTACCTATTATAGTATACAAAAGCAATTCTTCCTCGCTTTAGTGGTAAATTGGCAATCTGATGGACATGTACAAGTTGAATTATGCATTAAAAGATAAATCGCCCAGGAAGATTCGTAGAAAGTGAACAAGCTCGGCAAGTAACTGACTAGCAATTAAATTGCTAATGTTTATGCTTTGTGCTCGGTTTCACATGTTATCCGTTAGAATGATTAAAGCTATGATTCCGGTTCTTCATCTGCCAACCTTAACTTACCTGAGTTTATGAAAATCAGTTGACTTCCAGGCACTATTTCCCTGCACACCTGAACAGTTTCCTACTCACCCTCCGTCATTTTCTTTGTGTCTTCTTTATTCCATCGCTAATGAAAGTATCGCTTGGGTACAGTTGCTATGTAGAAAATGATTAACTACTGACTTGGTGCAATGCAGTTGCATTATTGCACCTGTCTAAGAGGCACCTACTAGAAGTTGAAGTATACATGGCCAATCTTCTGAGTAGACTAAGATAAAGGTAATGCCAACGGTAATGGTACGTCAGTGTCTTAGTATGTTACATCGGAAAGGAATCGGCGCATAGCGACAATTGTTTATTTTAGGAGCACCGAATGGCTGCACCAGAGACGTAGGAAGCAGGTCGTTACCAAATAGCATATGGGCACAGCAGCATACACAGCGGTAGGTACAAACGGATGGGTACTTGGATGACAGCCATGCTACGTCTTAAACATTTGCAAAACAGTGAGAAATCTGTTTGAAAAGCCGCATGTTTGACAGTGGGCAGCGGGATCTAGTTTATGAAGTACTGTGGTAGTAGTTGTGTCAACGAGGCCGTAATCGACAAACTAAAAGCGGCGCACACCAACAGTTCGTATTGGGTAGTTATTCTCAAGCCTGCGCAAGTGACTGTTAGTCTGACCTCCAAACGAAACCAATACAAATTTGTAGTACTCTTGTTCATGAGGTCTAACGTGTCTCTATCCAGTTTGCGACAGCTCACACTCAAGTTTGCATAAACACATGTGTATATGTTGTATTCGAACTGCCATTGGACACGGATGACCCCAATGCATGTATATAGGTATACCGAATGAATTCGACGAGGATACTCATACCGCTTTTGTACGGCTAACTTTGCAGGGAAACGGCACTCGGGCAAATCGAAAATAACATTACCAGAACATGAAGAGGTGAGTTTATGACAAACGCATGTTGATTTCAGGTGTTGCGAATCCAACGCAAAGGTGATCGATGCGAATTCCGTCGACTGGTCAAAAGGGCGGTTACCCAGGTGCAAAAGAAAGCACTGTTGCACGCGGAATAGAAGCACGATGCGTACGCTCCCATTCGATTTACTAATCCAGGCCAATAGGGTAACATATGTGGTACGTTTGCCTGCGTGCTCAGTATTCTTGCTTTTCAGAAGCTGATGTTGTTTGAGCTCCCCGGTGTGGATGCTCTTGATGTGATTGTTGACAAGGTGCCTACCTGTCTATTACCCACTACCTTGTTCATACCGGCTCCAGGAGACAGTTGGTCGTTGCTGGAGGGGACGGGGTGCACCGTCCTCGCGACGGTGCTAGACTCAAAGAGTGGTTCCATGCAACCTGTGTGGAACGGGTTACCGCCCAGCCACCGCCATGTGTATGTCTGGTGTGCATGATTTCCCAATTAGGCCGGAATACTTCTGTGCTGCTTGTTGAAGGAGTGTGGACCGGCTCCGTTGATGAAACGTGGCTCCCATCAACATGCCTCCCGGTCTTATTCCTTCGGGTTTACACCGGATATGGGGTGTGTGGGTGGAACTGCGGGTGGTGCAGTGCAAGCCATCCATGGTCCCTCTGTAGGCGCAGGCGTTCTGTGACTGTCCTCCTGGAGGCCACAGTGACAGGGAAATCCGGATACGGATTCCGCCAATTCAATTTGCTACGAGGATTCCTGCAGGTTCACTTGAGAATAAGTATAGCTCAGATCAAGTTTCGAGAACTTTTGTCCACCTGAAAAAGTAGCCTTGGAATCGGATAATGTTCCGTCTTCGTCGCTTGAGTAACCGTCAGTTTATAGTCGCCGCAAATGCGAACTGAGCCATCGGCCTTCTGTACAGGAACGATGGGTGCAGCCCGGAAAGAGTGGTGTACGGGTGAGATTCTTCCGTCCTTTTGTAAGCGCTCTAACTCTACCTTCGGACGGATTGCGAAAGGTAGACTTCGTGCCTTGTAAAATTTCGGTTGTCTGTGACTTGATATGCGGGCAAGCTTTGAAATCACGTAATTTCTCAGGTATGTTTGCATCGAAAATACTGCAAAGGCTTTCAAGAGTTTAGGTAACTCAAAAATACTGTCCACCTTCTTGACAGATTGTTCTAGTTCCGGCATGTACTTTAACTAGTTCATCCCAAGTAGGTTCGGTCCGTCTGTGTTAACAACGAGTGAAGAAAGAGTCAACATATTGTCCCTATGATTGACTTTCACGTCGCACACGCCCAAAACACCAAGGATTTCCACACCGCATGATCGTAATTTAGACTGAGTCGGTCAGAACCAGGTCGGGTAAAGTTCGGTTGTTGATCAATGTAACTGAGGCCCCGGTATCGATCTCCAGACGTACTGACTGGTCTTCAATGTTTAAGTCAACAGTGTACGGGGGTACTCCCATTGTGTGCGATGTAGTTGTGTGCGAAATTAGATGGAATGTGGGATCGCCAGTGTTTTCAACAGTTCGAATAGTACCCCGGGCAGGGCGGGGTTTCCGTCATTGAACCACAGTCGAACGGCATACGCGTGCAACATGTCCGACCTTTCCGCACTTGTGACTAGTAGACTGTTTGTGTCTGCAATCAGTAGCCTTTTTATGCTTCTCGCCGCATCGCCGCACGTAAAAACATGTGTTGGTGAATGATGATCGAGAGTTAATGGCAAGGAGGCATCTGAAGGGAAATCGTTTCGATAATGAACTAATTGTTGTGCAACGCTTTCGCTTTGTCTAACCGGTGCGCAGGCTGTTTCCCAAGTCAGTTTATTCTCGTCGTCCGACAGCAGGCGTTCTCTAGTTTTATCGTCTCGAATGCCAAACAAAAGGCATTGCATCGCCAACGACTGTTCGAATTTCGTTGCGGGAATTTTATTGTAACGGTAGTCCGTAAGGGACTGTTGTATACGACTGATGGATTCATTAACACTCCTCGTTTCCCTGTCGTAATTGAGAAACACTTAGGTGCACCGTAAAAACATCTTGCCGTGATCCCCAAAGGCCATCCAGGGCGTTAAAGCGGTCTGTCAGGATGTGCTTTCGTACAAAGGTATCGCATTAAAATGCAGTTGACTTTCCGCACCGAGGTGTTGTCTCAGTATTTTGACGGACTGAGTTTCACTAAGTCTGATGTGGTGTGTAGTTGATAAAATCTCAAGGTAGTCACAGAAGGTTCGTTTCAAAGGTTTCCAACCTGCTAAGGATAGCTTGGACGATGTGCCCTTCCAAAAGGAAACATAGTAATTAATTCAAAGTTAAAACTTCGTCGCCAAATGTCGCAGTTTAGAAATTGCGGAACTAACACTCCGTAGCTGGCTCTTCGCTGAATTATCACAAAGCAAAACACATCAGGCAAACGGGAAGCAAAACTGTATTCTAACCAGCATGTTCTACAACGCATCGATCCACTATTCTAAATTAGGCCAAGCGCTAAGTGAGTGAGCGGGTTACTGACACACGCCAGCAGATGCAGGCAACGAATAGGAAGGGCTCTGTACATTGGTCGTGAAGATGCCACAGCTTTCCACATGATTATCCATTCGCCTTACTTCATAGTTGAATATCAAACAGCTTCCAAGTTATAGGTGGACAAGAATCACCATGATGATCCTCACGCAAGCAACTAGCTGTCGGTTAGCGTAGCAATACTTGTTTGAATTGCGGAAAGGGGGGGACAAGCTAGTTGGGATAACGTACATCTAGCTTCCGGTGTCGGTTGGTCAGAAGTGCGTTCTCGATAATGTGATATGGACATATAGAAATATACAAATGCATACATATACAAATACATATAGAAATATACAAACTGCTTTTGTTGTTGGTGCTGTGTGCGAAGCGGTTAAGGAAATTGCGTAGATGCGGCACAATAAGATGAAACCTACCAAGAGCGCCTTGACATACATCGAAGCGGGACACGCCTCCGGCAATGAACTGTGGATTCTTGCATATCTCCTGAGCAAATAGATAAAAAAAGTGATATTTAAATAATCTCATGTAGCTGTCAACTTTTACGATGTGAATTCTCCAACTTTAACAGTATAGCGATTGTTTAGACAGGAGTAAAAACAGAAAGCAACCTTAAATTATCCCATCGCAGGTTCAGTTGTAACGGCCGGGTGAATGGATTGCGACATTCAATCGCAATCTGGACAGCAGTTAGCGCCGAAGTGAAAAACAGCCAGGTCAGTCACTGGGGACATACTAGAAATATAAATGATGGGTATCACGACCCCAAATGTTGCAACGCTGAGCTAGAAACGCACAGCATTCAATTCGTATTTCCGTTAAGGTGAAGTAACCACAAGTTGTTATCATAAGGTTTCATCCTAAATGAAGTGGAAGATTAGCTACAGCTGAGTAAACTCTACTTCGCAACAGCAAACAGGTATGATGGGAAGAGTTAATAATTCAGTAAAAATAATCCAAGCAGTAACACGTTAAGGATAAAACAAATATTAGAAGTTGCAAAGTATCCCAAGCAGATGAGAATGTGAAGGCAAAGTACAAAGAAGTAAAGAATCTGATATGGACCCGTAATTAACCACGGTTTGCAGCAAAACTCCAAAAGTCGTATGGTACTGGAAACAAAAAATACCTTGTAACCTGTAGCGTAGTCGTAAAATGCATGCGCATGCCGAATAAAAAGCGCGCTGTCAACTCGTTCCGCAGTGAATCAAGAAATGGGAGCAAAGGAGCAGTAGGAGTTGAATGGTATGGTCACTGAGCACTACCGCAACGTGCATGGTAATAGGTAGTGAACAGCAATATATCACATCTGGTAATCAAGTCAACTCGGTCGTTACCGTGCCTCATAGCTCAGCGTGCTTAAGCACAGACTAGCAGCAGTCGAGTTGCGGGTTCGAGCCCTACAAGGGTCCAATGGAATGTGCATTACTGAAGCTTCCATAAAGGATGAAACGTCCGTACGGTACCTTTCTGGGCGTGTGCTGGCAGCTTGACATAGTCTAGATGCGAGTAATATCTACTTAAATGGGAATAAGTAGGCTAATCCTCAGCCAATGCAAGGTTTGACGTTTAGGTAGATGGCTGGTAGCGCTTAAAGCAAAGTGGGTAAACACAAGTGGGTAAAAAAGAGCGAGGCGACTTAACATAAGGTTCAACAATATAATGAAAATCCGGCGTATAAAGTGGGAAACTCACAGATCCGTTAAAAGGCAGTAGAAGAAAGATAATCGACAATGAGCCTTGCTTTGGCTGAGCAGCATATTGACGCTGATACTTATAGTTAATAAAGTGGATACTGACAAGATATAAACGAAAGAACTATGTTACAAGTAAACATCACTTGTCGAGAAAAGCACCAAAGTGTTTTACATTCTGTTAGGAGTCACAGGCAAAGCTGATTACACTGAATTATGTCAATCTCTGGTTCTACTCGATAGCACAAAATGAGTTACAAGAAATAATGCCCAGTGGACAAATTTTTTTCCACAAACATCGAACATTTCAAACTTGTTTACAAGGTTTAATAAGTAAGCAACATTATAATTTCCTGGGACGGCTTTATTCGACTAATAATCTACCAGCGGCACTGATTTATGGGGAAGGTCTTCAGGCAATTGAATCGATTCCATTTTATTGGGATCCTCACAAGCATATCATACAGAAAGTTTCGGAAGCCCCTTGTTCATTCCAGCTGTGGGAACTGTGGGTGAATAACAAGTGCGGTTTTAGCATCTTAGCTTCAATTCGCTCGTTACGGTTTGTGATGAACTCAGACTAAACGTAAGCGAATCTGTCGACAGTGTGAGAAATGGTGATAGTCCTTGAAGGAAGGAAATTAATACATTTTTAAAAAGCCGAGTATTCTTCTAACTTATGCACAACAAAAGTTCATGGGACATCCAGTTAATGATATCATCACCTCCTCGTGGTGCCAGCTGGGTGATTCGGGTTTACCCCCTTCAGCAAATAGTTCGGCGGCAGTGTTCCAGGACGTGGTGGGTTTTCGCCTGGCAAGCGTTCTCCCTATAAAAAGCCACATATGTCCGTTTAACAACACTGTGACGTGGCGGTTGTGACTCGCCACTAACTAAAGTCACCCATTGCTTATCCGAACAATCTCTTCAAGTCCACAGATAGCAAGTACTGGCGATACCTTCAAACACATTCAAGCAAAATGACAGGAGACATTTACCAATCCCATAAACAAAGCTAAACGCGCCTTCATGCAAATTTACATACATTCATATATAAACATATGCAACAATCCCATTGTTCCATTGTACATTAACTGATCACATTTTGTGCTCTTAACATGATCATGCCTGCGCAGGCGTGCCTCGCTTAGTCGAGAATACACAATTTATTTATTTATTTATTTATTTATTAGCTGAAGGTGGGAAACACTTCAACCGGTGTGCCGTAACAAGAAAAAATAGAAACAAATGAAGTGTAGCACTGTTCATTATAGAATGCAAAAGGAAAACCAGATAAGTAGTGTAATATTATGTTTTGGGAATGAGATCGCAGTTGGAGGAAGAATCGAAAGGGAAAACGGAAGGACAAAGAAACTTACAACGCAAAAGCCACTGTGGTCGGCTCTTCGTCATGACAACAACTGCATACAACAAAATGTATTCATTACCTTCCGGGCCCCAACTCGACAGACGGGTGACACCAACCGACGCTAAGTTCGGAGTGGGGTTTTTAATTTCCCTTGAACACCTCAGGACTTCACCTCCCTCCTCTCATTCCATCCGGACACCGGGCGTGCAAACGACGCACATAGTAGGAGTCGGTGTGCTGGCATGCGCAACACGTGACTTGATGCGCGATAGAACCGTGCTGAGCGTATCACTTGTTCTTTCTGCACCTAATACACGACGCTGGACATAATCATTATCTACGCGGTGTTCCCACCAGATGTGAATCAAACCGAACACAGTGAGGTTAGAACAAAGTTAATCTCTTTATGTCTGTCGACTTGATGAGTCAAGTTCCACAACTGTACAACATGATTGAACACACGGTTATGTAGTAAATTCTGTCTTTCAGAGTGAGAGTTATGTCAAGTTGGCGCCAAAGGTGGCGGAAATTGGCAAATGTTCACGAGATTTTTCCAAACGGTTCGTGACCCCACTTTCAACTGCGCCAAGGTAGGTACTTAGGTCTGAACGAATTATATCTGATCACCACCAAGGGTCAATGTAGTAGCAGGTCCCTGCCAATCTTGTAGAAAGACTTTGTATCTCCAGGGTGCAAAGGATAACCCAAAAGGATTGACAGCCAGCGATAATTGGTCTACTTTTGTTTGGAACCTTGGTGAGATGTCACAGACTAGAGCAATATCATCGGCGTATTACAAGACAAAACTTGCTCGACTGGGAGAAGCTCGGCAACTGGTAGGTCGTGCCCAATGAATGCGGTTGCCATGACTTCGTCAACGGTGAAGTTAAAAAGTAAAGATGACGTCGGGCAGCTTTGCTCACGCTGTCAGAGACATTAAAGAGCGACGACAGAATGTCATCAGCCCTCAAGCTGCCCGAATTATGTGCGTACGGTGCTCATATGGCATTCATATATTTATCGGGGACACATTTCCTGAGCAGATAGTCCTAATGCGCACATCAATCCACCGAAACGAAAGCACCATTGATGTCCAAGAACACGAATTTGGTAGGCCAGCAACAAAGTTGGCGGTATTCCAACGACTGACATAACGTGAGGATGTGGTTGCTACAGCTACTTCGGCGAAATCTGGCTTGCTCCAGATGAATCTGGCTTTCACGGGTGTCAGTCAGCGTACGGAGAGCGACAGATGCAATCAACTCAAAGGCAATTTCGATAGCCTCATGCATTCATTCAACACACACGTTAGCTAAAGGTGGAAAACAAGTTAGCGATTGTGCCGCAATACAAAGAAAAGAAAAAGACATGCAACAGGCACACCGGCTGCGTCACCAGTAACGGATGGACATCTTTCCGAAGAGCTAACAGCCGGTTGTTGTGCTGCAAAAACGTTTTAGTATGCCTAATGGATGAGATCGTGTTTGGAGGGGAGGCAAAAAGGGATGGGGAGGGACAAAGACGCTCACAACAGAAACACTACTGAGGTCGGCTCCTAGCCATGTGAAAAAGTGTACCCAACCCAAGGTATTCATCGTCCGTCAGTCCCCGAGTAGGGAGCCAAACGCCTCCAACCGAAGTAAGGACCTTTATTTTTTTTGAACAAGTCTTCGCTTGGCCACCCATCTGCTTGCATCCGAACCCCGGCGCGCAAACAACGCACGTCGCGGGATTTGGTGGGCTGGCATGCGCAACATGTGACCCAGCAATCGGGGCCTGGTGAGTGAAATAACGGTGCTGAGCGGTTCGCTCCTTCTTCCTAATCCATAAACAAGGCGTTGAACATGCTCGTTGCTCACGCGATGTTCCCACCAGATTTGAGCCAAACTGCGAAGGCACCGGAGGTCGGATGTAACTAGCCTCCTTATGACTGCTGATTTAATGGGCCGGGTTTCACAGCCGTAAAGGAGAGTTGAACGGACGGCTGCATCGTACACTCTACACTTCAGGAAGAGAGTGATGCCGCGTCGGCGCCATAGGTGACGACGGTTGGCAAAAGGGTCTCGAGCTTTTGCTATATGGTTTGTGACCTCGTCTTTACTTCCAACCGCGCTGTTAAAACTGCCTAGGTAGTTGAACCTTTGAAGGACTTCTAGTTGACCCCACCAAGGATCAGTGCAGGAGGCGGTCTTTGGCAAGCTTGGAGAAAAGCTTTGCACTTCGAGGGTGCAAAGCATGGTAAGTAACGATTAACAACCAGCTAATTTATCCAGTGCCGCTTGAAACGGTTGTGAGCTGCCACATAAGAGTGCAATGTCGTCGGCACACTCCAAATCAATAAGTCACTTACCTGGGAGCAACTCCACACTTTCTAACTCGTGTCCTGTAAACCCGATCTCCATCACTTCAACAGCGAAGTTGAAGAGGAAAGGTGACAGCTGGCATCCTTGTCTTACACCGCTGGAAATATCAAAGGGCTGCGACAACTTGCTGTAACTTCTCACTCTGCCAGAGCTACGCACGTAAAGCGTTCGCATACTATTTACATATTTCTAGGGCATACCTTTCCGTAGCAGACAATCCAAAAAGGCACATCGATCAAACGAATCGAATGCACCTTTGATGTCGAGGAACACGACAACGGTGGGTCACCAATTTAGGTGACGGTGCTACAACAACTGAAGCAAAGTGAATATGTGCTCGATGCATCCCCGACCTCAATGAAACCCGGACCGAAGTACGAACGTGAGAGCCATTAAAACCTACAACTATGGAGGAGCAACTGTAATCTGGTGGGACAGTCTCCTGCTCCTACAGCTTCACTAGTAAGGTGCGTACATCATCCGAAAGAGCTACTTCCACGAATCTGAAAAGGGCAGGAAGGAGTCTAACTGCTACTGCAGCCTTATCCAAGTTCAACAATCGGTTCTCACATTCGGCATCTACTTGTGAAAGCGGATCTAATGGAGGCGGTTCAGAGAACAGGGAGATCACCGAGTCTAGCAGTTTCCGCGGAATAAACTGCTTCACAAATTACTCAGCCCAACTCTACAAGCGTTTTGGCAGTCTGTGAATATGTTTTCCAATCTGATCGCATACAGTACTGTTAACATCAGGTCTTCTGCTGCACGTTTTTCGTAACTGACTGAGTAATTTACGATGGTTAACAAGGGCAGAGACCACTTGCATCACCGAAGCACGGCGGTCTGTCTTCTGGCAAACACGCAGTAACGCCCTATGTTCTTTCCGAGTATCGTTTTGTTCGCTCCTAGTCAGAACGCGTTAGCGAGCCTCGATGAGTTCGAGAAACGACGTACAGACCCAATGCCTAGATTGTCACAAAAACATGTTAACTATCGGTACCGACTGGAGGATATGCGACCCGTGACTATCAGTTGTGTTCGGTGAGCAGTTACACATCCCCCATATATATATATATATATATATATATATATATATATATATATATATATATTCTGACGGCGCACACTCGGTTGTAGATTGGGATCCAACAGATCAACATAGCTTCAGGCAGAGGAATTAGAGCAATGCAAACACCGGCATAACTGGTATTTAAAGCTGCGTCATCTTCAGACGAGTGCAAAGTGAAGTGCTGGCAGCATCACATGTATAGTTCGCAGGGTGACAACAGGGCTCGATTCTTGCATGTTGGTTTTCAATAAACGGCAGGTGTCAAGACGTCGGATTAGGAAGGTGGACTGCTAATCCAAGCTGAGAATTGCCAGATAGTTGCAAAACATTGCGAATGGCATCGCAACATAAAACGTCACATCTTTTATTTATTCAAAGTAACACCCTTCTAATGAAGCGAGTCACACAATTATGTCATAATGCTTCAATGCTCCATTGTTAATGAAAGATGAAGACCTAATATAGAAAGGTCCAGCCGCCTCTTTCAATACCACAGTGAACAATGAAAAGGTATTCACAGGCTAGCAAGTACCATAGTCTCTCACAACTTAGAAACGACTGAAAAGATTTTGATGTAAATTTGCTGAAACGCTTGCGTCCCTGTTGTTGACTGTAAACCACTCACAGGCAGCAAACCTTAGGGGGTGAATCGTCCCCGTGAGTGTCTAAATTGTGAATGTTAATCTGTTCACCGCTTATGTGCTCCTCATAGTTACATATAGAGGGTATAATGGTAATAATAAAGTGTCAGCTGTACGCCGTAACGGCGCTTCGCTTCCGCGCGTGGTATTAATGAAGAGTTTATCAAAGAAACGTCTCGTGCCGATATCTATTACCATACATCTATTGATGGGATACAGCATTATAAACGTCGTGTTGCAAAACCACAAGGACAAGTAAAGTTTATAGTTTTCTCTTCACCTCCAATCCGTACCGCATTTTGATGAGCGAGGTGAACAATGATGATAAGGTACCCTCAGCCTATTTTGTACTTAGTGTTCTAACTAGCTGTGACCGACATATTTAAAATATCTGATAGAATAACCCATAGTTAAATTAGCTAGAGCTACGTACTACCAGTAATTGATCTGTTGCATAGAAGTGATGCAAGCTTCAACCGATTTTTGGCACACTCGAAATGAAGAGGGCCTTTACATGGATAAGCAGAGACGCTGCCAGTTCTAGCTAGTCCAAAATATTCATTCAAAGTAATTTGTCGGTCAATGCTTTTAAGCTGTTATACCAATATCTTGGCCAAGACGCATCAACAATAGCATATGGCTTTTCAAATCCTAAATAGCTTCTATGAAAGTAAGGTATCAACTTGACAGTCAAGGTAAGGTTGTAAAGCTCTCTTGCATAGTCGGCGTTACCGCATCCAGAATGCATACACAAGTTTACCATGAAGATATCAAAAAACTAATCATTTTGGACATTGATGCCCGCGTCTTATTGCCGATAGGTGGTTGGGTGGATAGGTGCAGAGCAAGCAACAGTGACATTCACCATCATGTGTCCGTACATGAATGCCATGGTGATACAATAAAGTGCTCGTTCAGATTGGATCAACTAAGTTCGTTGAATACTGTTTTTCAGATACCAGTTTATACATTGCGTTGGCGCACACATCAACAAGTTTTTTCGCATATCTGGGAGGTGAAACGGGGTGGTCAACGTTGTATGTAGTTGAGAGGCACATACATATTGTCCTCAAGGATGTGACCACGGGATCAGCTGCACTAGCAGGTGTATGCCCTATTCAACCTGGTGCAGGCGCAAAACCAATGTTGTTCTTAACTTCGGCACGTTGCACCTAGTTTTTACATCTCCGCTATAGTTAGTCTTGCTTACCCTCTTCTCTCTCCTTCCTTTTCGTTCAGTTTTACTTTAGGTTTCGCCTAGTTTTCAAGTAAATATGTGGTTACCATAGTAACATAAGCTACGGTATCTGAATCCGTGTGTTTGGATAAAGTGATCATACTTATTTATCTCGACTAGCTGTACGCGCAATAGTCTGTCTCTATGCGCTGGTTTACTATACTGGACTGTAAGATAGCGATTATATATGAACTATTTAATCTTCCTCAAACATACTGTAAGCCAACTGTTTCGAAACTTTTAAGTTCTATGTTAGAAAATAGCAATGGGCTCTTACTACGTATGGGTTCAACTATGTACGATCCCAAGTGCATGTTTTGCGCAAAAAACCCAGTTGATCTGCAGTTAACAAATTCTTCATCCCTAAGATGTAATAAGATTACCTGATATTTCGCATTTGACTGTGAAAAAATAAGTATGTGCAGTGCAATAAAGTTATCATCATGTGTAAAAAGAACAAGCGATAGCAGCAAAATAAATGCCCATTTATTTGGTTTATTTAAACTCACGTGTGGTCGAAGCCAAGTGATGTGCATACTTGGTGGTCCACTATAGTATAAACTGTCGTTCGTGGCTGGAAATTCGGGATCTTCAAACAAAAGTCCCTGAGACAATAGTTGACTTTTGATTTGCTCGTAGGAGAGGGTCGTCTGAGCCAATTCACCTCCGCGAGTTGAAGGAACAGGAGTGTTGGAGGTATTGCCATAGTCAGGTGGGACAACAACCTTGTTTAGCTGCGAGTTACGCAGGGCAATACGAGGATCTTCTAACCTTTGAAACTGAATAACTGTAGCAGAACGATAGGACCTGCGTCCACTGTAACGCACATCCTGAAAAAATGTTAACAATATAAAACATGGCAGTTGACAAATAAACTAAAATAGTTGCTACATAGCTTAACGAGCGTCATATGACTGCACGAGAATAACTTTGTTCTTACTGTTTTCAAATAGCAACGACAGGTTCACAAAGTGTACAATTGTTATATAGAGTTAAACTTAACAAAGATGCCACTGTCTTTTATAGTGAATGGTTGTCACTTTCAAAAACTTCATTAAGGCTGTATTAAAATTATTGTTTGAGATTCCTAAATCGTTATCAAAAAAGAGAAATAAAACACAACAGGTATTAACTACGAATCACCTTATAAAAAACAAACCGACATGGTAGAAACCGAATTAATGTAATGTACTGTATGTAAACTTTCCAAGCGAACCTCGCCTGAACAAATTTGGACGCCAAGCTTGTAACGGTCAAGTATGCAATTACACGCCAGTCAGTTTGAACATAGTAGAAATATACATAGCCGTAGCATAAACAACTCTACTTTACAACAAATACTTCAACAGTAAAGAGGTTGCGGAGTGATATAAAATATAAAAATAACCATAATAAATGAGTCGCGCGATGTGGCCTACCAGCTACACAGTTATGGCTCGTTGTAAGGGATAAGTTAAAAGTAAACAGACGAATTGCACCGCACTAAAATAAATAAACGCATTGTAGTGACGTGTTGTGTGGCATACTGTTGAAGTTTGTGAAACTGCAATAATCCCTGCATATTGTGGCATACATAGAAAGATAATGTGAATGCAAATTTATGCTGTCTCTGTTATCACGCATGTCATAACAGCATCATGTCCCTTCAGTAAGCTGGCTTACTAGATATCAATTAAACAAACCCACATGCTACATGTTTGTCATATGGGACAGGTGGTTAGTATTTTGCTGTCAGATGAATCTATTCGAAAGTAAAACCTGTGTTACGCGTCGTATTTATTACTATCAAGATATGTCTAAATTATCGGAGTTGCGGAACATAATAGAAAAGACATAATATTTGAAGGCGCCGATCAAAGTTTAAGTAAAGTATTGCCTACAAAACTTAGCAGTAATGGCTACACATAGTTGAATCAGTAGAAAAAGAACTTGATATAGCGCGCTTGTGAGCCTGGCAAAGTGCGTACACATCAAAACGCGTTTTTATGTATACTAATTATCGTTACGCAAACATATTATCCAAAAATCAATGAGAGAACGTGACAATTTCCCCCACCCAACTCCATGTTGATGCTAAATAATATGGGTGCATGCTAGGCATATTGAGTTATTTTGCTGTTGTAGTGCTACTCTCGATGCACCACTGTCTACCCGCAGACGGTAGCACTGGGACACTTGGGAAATAATTAAAATTGTATTCACTTTGAGCATAGTTTAATTGAAAGTTTAATAAGGAGTCCAAAACTAAGTTTTATCAACTTCAAATAGCTAGAACAAAAACATACTAGTGCGGCCAATGAATATAGCGGTAACCGCTTGAAGACATTTAAGCCAAACCAGAAAGCATTCAAACTTAGACCAGGCCGAATGCAATGAGCTGCTCCAAAAGGAATGCTGGATAGGGACAGTGGAAAAAATAAACATGCAGTCAAAAGCAATTTTAACCAAATTCAATAGAGACAAGTTTGACTATCCGCGAAATACAAGTATACTGGTATTGACATCTTGGAAAATACTTGGAACCGATGGAGAACCCATGATTTCGGAAAGGTATAATTTGTGAGCAATGTTTCGCCTTTGACACAACAGGTTCATCAGGCCGAGTGAACCAGTCGGAGATTGATATAGCACTTATAGCGAACTGGGATGATAATCACGACGAATCGGATGTAAGCAGGAGGTCAATCGCTTTACAGGTCAACACCACTTCAAATAGTGCATGGAAAGGTCACAAGTGGTTCGCGTTACAAAGTCACACACGTAAGCCCTGTTAACGATGGGTGAGGAGATGATGTGGTGTACATTCTCTGCCCTGGATCCTTCTGCTGGCTGCTCTTCAGACCGGTCGGGTTAAAACTGCCAGCCACATGCACAAAAGCTCTTCCCCGTCTATCCTGTTCATGGAGCTGTTCACCTTGCTAATGTCAACCGCCTACGTAGTTGGCCTCTGGGGGGTGGATCACAATTCCATTCTAAGAATTCCGACGTTATCCGAGTCAATCTCATGACCTGTAGCTATCGCGTGCATCGCTATTGCAGAACACCATAGTAGAGCCATGTATTCAACCTCGTTGCTCGGTGGCCGTGTTATACGTCTCTTGTGTCCTGCCATCGTCGTGCGTAGCTCTATCGCGGTTTGGCCGATGTAAACGTGTGCGCAGTCTTTGCAACTAAGTTTGTATCGCTTCCTCTCAGGTTAACTGTACCTCTTGTATACCGTAGCATACTGTTGAGCATAGAGCCGCTATGCAAGGATTTGGCTCGGCAAAATCAGATACTTACGCCTAAGTAACCATAATTGCACTGCTAGTTTGTACTACACACTTACTGTATTTAATACACATGGTTTACAAATTAACTGATATATCTTGAACAAACTAACTTAAACAATAAGGTCAAATGAATTGAAAACCGATTTTAAATGGCCCAAACCCAGTCAGTTTGGCACGGTAATTATGGTCTGTGATATATTCAAGGTGACAACTTAATGATAAAATGAACGATACCTGAGATTGCGAAGATTTTGGGCTGGCTGGAATCCAAGTGCTCTTAATCTGACAAGTTATAGCGTCTTCAAACAAATGCATTTAGCCGTAAATTCAGTAGACTAACGCAAATATAGTGTACTAGTAACTAACCATCATGAAACAGGATTGCTATTGGTTACTGATATTCACTGGAGTCAGAAAACTTGATTTCACTTGAAAATATTGAAGTGGGCACTCCAAATATTTTGACAGCATATTCAACAACAAGAAATCTAGCTAGCTCATCTTTACTAGTCCCAAGGCTATTACATGTACAAGGCGCCATGGCCTTCAGACTCTAAAGAAGGACTGTTTTAGTGACCAATGTCGATATGAAGTAAGCAGTGCATGAAATCGGTTGAATGGTTTTGTTTGATTTCGTGTGTTTATAAACAAGAGCTGAAGTATACGATACAAAGCACGGACTGGCTGTGCACCACGGTGCATCCCAAAACAGAAGAAACACTCTTATTGCTAAATGTGGAGCACGAGCTGCTCCAATTAAGCGCGCTTTCAGGCACGCGCAGAAATAAGAAAACAAATAATGGTAGGAATTGGTTAAATGACATGAAATGTTATACATAATCATTGACATCACCTGCCTTGTCTCATAAATGGTTTTTCCAATAAAACGGTGCCCTTTGGATGACAGCTTTTGGCCTACTGGCCGACCCAGCGCGGCACCTCTGGAACGAATTTCGGTTACGCAAATTATTTTCCGTAAACACTGAGGTCTTCAGTACCGCGTTATAAAGAATTCGAAGTTGACTATTACCAAGCTCGGATGTTATTTTTTGTCATGGAATATACATTCACGTCATACCTTAAACCGCATAACACAGTTTACTAAACAACCTCCGCTGGACTGACCGTTGGAGCACATTGAGTGACCGCTTTCGTGCCATTTGGACGAATATTGGTCATTAAGAAACATGTTTTCATAAGCGACCTCAACATATACTGAATACTGTATAATGTACTACAGAGCAAGTATAAATGAATTCTGCACAGCACTTTCGAAGTATAGTAAAAAGTTATAAAAATTGGCAGCCGTGAATATCGTTCTCATGTAACATTTAAACTATCCGACTCACGGTATTGCAGGACTCACAAATGTGACATGTCATCGTAAGTGTGCAATCGTTCTCTGAATGGAACAGTGGCAAAATATAAATCTAACAACGTTTTGAAGTGATGCACAGATGTTGCCTCGATAAAATGTCCAGGCAAATTGTTCCAGATATTCACCACTCTCCGTTCGAAGCACAGTGGGTGGGGAACTCGCTTCACATCTGGTCCGAAAAGTTCGTATGTGTCCGCGTGTGTTGCATAGCCCTCGCAAGGGCAGCACTGGCTTACCATGGGAGCCACCGAGATGTAGAAACCCGTAGGTCATAATAAGGTCAGCTCGCACCCGACGGTAGGACAAGGTGTATAGTCCTGGTTTTTTGCACCGGTCTTCATACCCCAAGCCATATAAACTCGGGAGGAGTCTGGTAGCAACGTGTTAGACCCGTTCGATCTTTTGTTCCTCGCCTCGGGTATTTGGAAAGTAGGTGGGCGAACGGTACTCTAATACTGGTCTAATGATGAGAGACCATGTGCCGAAGCTACGTTTGAGCGCCCAAAGCATGAGCAGTCCGTTACGATATAGCCTGTTCGTGTTGGCCACGGACATCAAATCGCAGCGCGAGAGTACACCTAAGTCTTTCACGGAGGGTGTGGGATATAACGTTCGGCCGTCAAGGGTGTAGGTTCGGCCGTCAGCACCCATCTCTAAGCTCATGAATACAAACTTGGCTGCGTTGCCCGGAAATGAACATCTGCAGTCCATGCGGATAGGCGGTTGAGATCTAGCTGTAGTAAGCCACAGTCGTCGGGAGCGTCAATTACTCTCCAAATTTTCATGTCTTCTGCAAAAAAGGCACACGGCGGCCTAGAAGCTGAGGTAGTCTGTTGAGGTGATTCAGCAACAGAGTAGGCCCCAGCCCAGTGCCTTGACATATGGCACTTGTAGAGGGATACCGGGCAGGCAGATGGTCGTCGAGCTGTCCCCTCCACTTTCTTCCAACAAGAACTTCGCGGATCCACCAATGCAGTGAGCCACCGACACCGCAACTTCTGAGTTTCTGAAGTACCTCATGGCTGACCTTGAGGAACGCTGTACTGAAATCGAATAATATCACTTTGACAGACTTCCCCTTGCCTTTAGCCTCCCACGCCTCGTTACAAGGAAGTTTGCAATGCATGAGCGGCCTTGCATAAAACCGCGCTGTGCGAGCGTCAGAATCTTGTTGGATCGTAGCAATTGCAATAATCCATTTTTTACGTTTTCAGCAGCCTTTGCTAAAATAGGTGTCAGACAAATCGGCGTGTAGTTGTCTACTTTGCTAGGGTCGCCGCCTTTCGAAAATCTCCAGTCCATCGGTAACAAACCTTCGGATAACGATCGGTTGAAAAGGGCAGTCACGACGGGAAAGATTATGATCAAAAGTGACTTGCGAATCAGTGAGTGAAGCCCATCAAGTCCGGCACGTTTGGTGTCGTCAAGGCTGGCGAGTAGTTGATATACGGTGAAGGAGCAGTGAATGCGTAATAACGTAGTAATAAAGTCGAAAGCTAACCCGTTTTAGCGTGACGGTCACACGCGATATATGTGTTACACTGGGACGGCCAGGAGAACAAAACAGTCACTTAGTGGCAACCTACCGCCCGCATAACACACGTGACCGGATTGTGTCCGTTGGGATAACAGCTGAAGCGCCTTGAGTGACCGTTTTCATGCCAATGGCCGCTCCTGTGAGACATATTTAGACGAACTTTTATCACTGTGATGCCTTTTCCTAACCCAGCCCTAAAATAGATATCGATTGCAGTTTTTCTTCGAAAATGTTTTCATTCATAAACAAAAATCTATTTTACAATAGTAGCTATGAAATAATAAAACAGTAAAGTTTAAATTCACCCTGAAATTCTCACTAAAGCTGACAAGTGCATAAAAGCCACTCAGTAGAAGTTTACCGGTCACTCGCGCTGAATGAAAGCAGAATTTTAGTAAAAAGTAAAGATACATGGTTAAAGGCTAACAGTAATAATTATGTGTAATAAAAGCTGACACAGAGCTGGGCACCTATCGTTAATTATTTTTACTTTTATCTACTCTCCGAAGGAGGTCTAGTTGGCACCACGAGACACTCAGGAGTATAGGGCTGGACTCAAATCTGACAGACCATATATAAGGGTAAATATACCAAAGCATGAAATAAAAGGGCTCAAATAACAATAAGTACATGTCGATAACTACTTTGAACAGTTAAGTAGAGATTGCCGTTCAGCCTAACGGTTGTAATGCATAGTTCATGTCAATATAGCCCCACTTGCATTCTCTTTATAACTGTTACTGCACCACTAACTAGGTGTCTAGTTACACGAGTTAGTGTTCGCACGTATGCAACATGGCAAGCATGGTTACTGGCGTGTTCACTGGCTTGCCTACGTTTCAGTTTGCCGTGAAGCATTTTCCGTTGTCCGATTTGCGTCTGAAATATCGGACGCAAATGCCAAGTGGACTCTCATCGGACACTCATGACTACAGTTGGGCAAGCCGTCCATCTGTGCCGGCAAGGCGATCACTCAGGCAAAACGAAAGCACGATGTTTTAAAGCCAGTGAAAGATTACTAAATAACAACAATTCTTATGAGGCGTTATAATATTTAGCTCAGATCTGGTGCGAACACTGAATACACAGAAAGCGTGTTTGACGTCTTGTTTACGGCACATGAAAAGAAACTGAACCGTTCAGCACCGTTATGTCACGCACCAGACTTCGATGGCTCGGTCACGTATTACGCAAGCCAGTTCACCGGCTCCTGCGACTGCGTTGTTTGTGCGCCGGGGGTGTGGATGGATGAAGAAGAGGGGTGGCCAAGCGATGACTTGGTCGAGGGGAATGAAAGCCCTCAATTTGAAGCTGGTCTCGGTTGGAGCGTCTCGGATCCCCAAGTAGGGTCCGAAAGACGAGGAACACGTTCGAATGGATAAACTTGCTAATATGACTAGGAGCCGACCTCAGTGGGGTTTGTGTTGAGTTTCCTTGTAACAACCCATCACTCTTAGCCTCCCCCTCCAAGCACCGTCTCACTGTTTAGTCTCATAATTTTGCATAGTGATTTTTTTGCTACATAGTAGCCGGTTGGTAGCTTACCGGAACGATGCTCATCCGTTACCGGCAGCTCGGCTGACTTGCACATATTGCATATTTTTCTCCCTTTTTTCTTTGTATTGCGGCACAGTAGCTGAGGTGTTTCCCACCTCTAGCTAACGCGCATAATAATGCTGTTATAATATTTAACAATATATCTGTTGATAATAAAAAGTTTTTTTTTCCGTAATCCCACCGCAAAAACAGACCAGATGCACTTGGTTTGCAGCTACAAACCTTACACTTTAATACTTAACCTCTGTAAGAGCGTTTAGTCGAAACTATCCTTGATTTCTGTAGCCTAATATCCGCTATCTAATATTTTTCTTCAGTCCCATACTTCTTCAGCGAGATTTTGGTTCGCTTTGTTT